ATCCCCGCCTGCCCGGAGGTGACCACATGGTGTGGCAGACCTCTCCTGTCTTGCCCGCTGCTCCCCTCAGCAGTGTACTTCGTCGATCTGCCTGTTCTGCTCCCCACTCTGTCTCTGGTGAATCCTCTCACCCTCCGCATCTCTGGCCTGTACCCCAGTTCTGTACGAATAAATAAATAAATCTTTAAAAAAAATCAATTTCGCATTGTTTTAAAAAAATAAAGCATAAATCCATTCATTTTATCAGTATCTAAGAAATCACTGTGATCCAGATCTGTCCTACATATTGTGGTGTACAATTAGAAATAAGTATTACTAAAGATAAAGATAAAAATAAAACATGTAAGCCAGTAGAAAATGATTTTAGGTATTTAAGTAGATTTTTTTTTAATAAAATAGGCACTATAGAGTTCACCATAAGAGCTGTATATACATTTAAAACAAAAATTGGGAGCTATGTCTTTGTATGTTTATGTGTATGTGTTTTTGTGTCCCAGAGTAGAAGGCAGAGTATGTATCACAATTACATGCCACACACCACCAAAGCGGGGGTGAGGTTAAAAAGTTGTGAATCAGGCCCTACCTGGTGGTGCAGCAGGTTAAAGCACAACACTAAGAAGCTAACACCACTTCCGCATGAGTTCAATCCCTGCCTGCCCCGGAGGTGACCCACATGGCGTGACAGACCTCTTCTGACCCGCCCGCTGCTCCCCCCACCAGTGTACTTTGATGATCTGCCTGTTCTGCTCCCCATTCTGTCTCTGATGAATCCTATGACCGCCCCTGCACCTCTGTCCTGTACCCCAGTTCTGTATGCACAAATAAATAAATCTTAAAAAAAAAAAGTTGTGAATCTAAGTAATTTTGGAAAATGATGTTTTTGCCAGACACTGTAAGGCGTAATGGCAAAATGAACTATAGTAACACTGTTTTAGCTGGTAAAGTCATTTCTTATGGGAATACAGGTTAACAGTTTTGAATGTGACTTAAATTCAATGGTGGAACAAACAAGTGACTGGATAGTAGGTAGATGGTGGGATCCAGATTTCCCACTGTCAGAAGGGGAAGTTACAAATCAGCAAGAGCAGAAGGCTGCAGTAAGCCATATGGTATTATTGGATTAGGGTTGAAGCCCTAGGTCTGAACTTAAATTTATTACAATACATACATTTCTTACATAAACTAAATATAGATACAGAATGAATTACAAATGTGTTACAGTCTACTTAAATACCTAACATCATTTTCTATTGGCTTATATGTTTTATTTTTTCCTCAGTAATACTTATTACTAAGATCTAGAAAATACTAAGATGTAGAAAATACGTGATCTGTTCACTGGGAGGGCTTGGTGGCAATGACACCTTCAACAGCAACAACATACATATATTTTGGTTTCTAAATACCAATCGCCAAGAAGAGTAACAGTGATCCTTTGAAAATTGGATAATTATAGGTCTAGAGCATCTTGTGTTGCCAGAAAATAATAAAATGTTCAAAAAAAAAAAACACAAAGGATGTGGGTATGCTAAAAATTAGATATAGAAGCCAACCTCAAAGAGTTCCCAGTAGCTGAAGCTGGAGTAACTTGAGCAACAGAATAAACAGGTTTTTTTTTCTACATTATCACCCAAAGTATAAAACAAATATACTTAAGTTTATGTAGGGAGAGAGGAGGTGTTTTCCTTATAGAAGGATTCCAAATAGTCTATGTGGATAGTTACCCCTCCAGGAGCAGAGAGGTTTAGCTGGAGTGTGGGCTAAACTAAGGGAAGTAGGGGACTGCTTCTAAAGGATAAAGAATGAAAAAATAGAAAAAAAAATTAATGAAACATGGAGAGTCCATCCTTGGCCAAATAATTGAGGTTGATATCGCCAGTGGTAAGTCCCATTGTTCACACGTGCCCCGAGTATGATATGAAAAGGGCAGTTACCACTGTGATTTTCACCTTAAAACCCGTAGCCCATGCAAGTCCCAAACAAGGGACATATACACAGTACCTGACCAGTTTTCCTCACAGCTGTCAAGATCATAAAAAACAAGGAAAGACTGAGAGGTGATAGCAGACTAGAGAAGACTAAGGCGGCATGAGTAATACTTACAAAGAATCCTGGACACGGAACCTAGAATGGAGAAAGGGCATATGTGGGAAAAGTGGTAAAATCCAAATGAAGTCTTAGAATTCAGTTAATTTTTTAAAAATGCATTCATATCATTTCATTATGAGTATTTTCAGGAATAAAGAAGATTTGAAAGAAATACAAGCACCCACATACACACTACTTAGATTCTACATTTAAGATTTTGACATTTTGCTTTATTTTATATATATATATATACACACACACGTATATATATACATATATATGTATATATGTAAATTTTAAATATATATATACATGTGTATGTGTATATATACATGTATATACACACACATGCACGTATATATATATATACACACACATAAAATAAGACTTCTTCTAAGGTCATTGTCCAGTACCTACCAGGCATTTACAGGTCACAGTATATCTTTGGTTGTGTCCTGTTGCGTGTAAAGGAGAATGAAAAGTTGGAGAGGATATAGGTTACAGAGGCATTTTGCAGAGCGATCATGATGTGTCATGATCTGCACTGGTGGGCACTGGGACTGGGATCTGTGAGTTTCTGGGAAATAAAAACATTTTTCGTGCTGTGTTCTTTGAACCTAAAGTGTGTGTGACTTTCAGGTGGTTAGATGCAAAGGTGACTCGGGGCTCAGACAGTGCTGAGTGTTCAAGTTGGATTGTCCAGTGCCAGATCGTTTATTTGGGGAGTGCCCAAGGCTTACCTCCCCAGGCCATTCTTCCCACCCTTCTAGTCCCCTGGGAAAATAAATAGAGTAGGAGAAAGAAGCTTTAGCTCTGGAAGAGGTAGGAGGACTGATCAGCTCATCAATCAGGGGAGTGTGTAATTATGCGGAAAGGACAGAAATCATTCCCTGAAGGCCACAGACTTGGGGCTTTGCCCAGAAGAGGACTTTACAGCTGCTAACAGTAGCCCTATTCAGCTTGGGTGCACAATGATTTTAAAACTAATCAGGAACCCAAGCCGGAGATCAGGGACAAACACAAATATCTTGTTGACAGAGCAAACATCTAGATTTTGTTGGATAGGAAGTTGCTGAGGAAGGTCAGGGTGATGTAATGGTGTGTGCCAAGCTTTCATCCTTAAACAGATGGGCCCCTGAGGTACCATCTGCAGCTCCCTGCGGCCCTTCGAAATCACTTCCTATAAATTAAATTGTTGTAAGTTACTATGGAGAAATTAGTATGAAAGCCCTTCTCAAAGTAAAGCTAGATAAAATAAGGAAATTTCCAGTGAAGTTACCCATTTCCTCATCTTCTCTTGCCTTATAAATAGACCTGAGACTTATTATTTTGGTCAGATTTCTTGTTTAGCACTTGACTATTGTTGTTTCCCCCAAATAGCTGTCCAAAGTAAACTTCCCCTTCTTCTCTTAAGCTCTGACAACTGTACTTATCCCTACCTAAGTCAGTGTCAGCTGGATGTTTCTCATAAACTGTCTTGCTATTTTAGGTTTTCTGTTTTTGTTGAGGCGGAAGTAGTGAAGTAGTGGTTTTATTTTCTTTTTTCTCTTTTATCAAAGGAATATTTGTTCTGGGAAGGCAGGGGGAGGGGATGCCTCAGTCTAGATTAGAGGAAGAAAATGTATGGCATCTGATGTAAGCAACTGATTATGAATCGTAATTAGTGTTATTTTTGATACAACACTTTAATGAAACCTTTACTAAAATGCTTCAGAGCAGAAAGCAGGGTCTGCTGTATTTATTTTTGATTTATTCAACAGTTAATTGACACCTCTGTGTTCTAGGCACCCAGGATTCACAGTGGCCATTCCAGGCTCTGTTCTAAGGGAGAGACACAGTCAGGGAAATGGCAAAGTGAAGTTTGTGGAGATATGATGGGGCACTGGAGGAGGAAAAGGGAAGGAGGAGTGAGGGAAGACTTCCTGGAAGAGGTGATTATTCTTGAGTTGTATCTCAAAGAAGTAGCTAGGCGATGTATGAGTTGAAGAGGTCATGAGCTGAGGCCTGGAAGGTAAATGGTTTCATGTGTTTAGAGAACAGAGTGGCTAAGTGTGGAGGATACTGTAAGAGAGGTCAATGGCTGTTTGATTTGAAGTAGGAGTGAAGAAGGAAAGCATATGGGGATACTGGATAGTAGGGGACAGGGGCAGGGAGTCAGGGGTTTTGCTTATCCAGCCTGCTGATTTGAGGTTTGGGGAAGAAGTGGGAGGGAAGGATGTTTTGCTGGAAGAGGATTGAGGAAAATGAAGAAGAAGGCTTGAGATAGTTTTTGAGGGAAATGGAAGGTGGCTTCTGTAGCACAGGAGGCCTTTCTGGGTCAGAATCACTCACATTTCTCTGTGAGACGGTATGACTTCTCTTTGGGGACTTTGGGCCCAGGAGTTGGGTGTGGAAAAGTTGAGTTGTGTTGAATCCCATTGAGATAAATGGGCTGGCAGGGGGCCTGGATGTTCTCAGGAGTCCATGTTGTTGGGGAATGAGCAAGAGGACACACTCCAGGGTTGTGGAAGAGTGTGCACTCGGTCGTGGGGTTATGAAAGGTAGAAGGTTGGGAGGTGTGGTCATCAAGTAAGAACATTGAATGGTGCCTTCTAGCTGTAAGGTGTGGCCCTGGGAATGGTTGGCTGAGTCAGAGGCCAAGGGTAATAGGTTCAAGGGCAGTAATATAGTAACTCCTGCCAGTTACTACTAAGTGCTCTGTGTTAGGCTCTGCTCCACGTGCTTTTGAATTCTGATTCAACTACTTTAAACCAGTATTGTTATTTTCATTCTCATTTATAGTTGAGGAAACTGAGGCCCACATAGGTTAAGTTGTTGCTCAAGGTCATACAATTAATAAACAATGGGATTCTAATTCAGGCTATCTAAGCCCTCACTGCCCTTAACCTCTATGCTCTTACTTACTCTTTTAGGAGCTGACCTTGGCTCAAAAGAAGATTGTGAAACAACTCTCTCCCCCCTTTTGTTGATGAATGAGGAAAAGTTACCAAAAAATAGGTAGGTGATGGCTGAGAAATAAAGAGGAAACTCATATGACTGAGAGTTTCAAAAGAGGATGAATTTTTTTTTAAAGGATTTATTTATACATAGAGAACTAGGGTACAGGTTAAAGGTATGGGGGCGGGGTAAGAGGCTTCACCAGAGACAGAGTAGGGAGCAGAACAGGCAGACAGACCGAAATACACTGCTGAGGGGAGCAGTGTGTGGGTCACCTCCCCCCGCCACCTCCCCGGCCGGGGATCAAACTCATGCTGCAGTAGCTGCATATAGCTTTATACTGTTGTGCTTTAACCTGTTGTGCCACCAGGGAGGGAACAGGAGGATGAAATTTTTACATGAAGTTGAAAGGAAAATGGATTCAGCTAGTGTCTCTAGGAGGTGAGAGGCCCTGTCAAAGTTGGAGAAAGGAGCAGAAGATGGTGGGGGGGCTGTTTAGTGGATATGGAATTTAAGTTTGGGAGACTGAGAAAGTACTAGAGATCGATGGTGTGAATGTTGCACAGCAATGTGAATATACGTAATGCCACTAAATGGTATACTTAAAAATGACTAAAATGGTAAGATTTTATGTTGTGTATATTTTACCACAAGAAAAAAAGGTGGTTGAGGATGGAAATAATAATCACTACCATTAAAATCTTCCTCTAGTTCAAAATGAGCACTTAATATTTAAGTGTATGTAGGGATTTTGCTAAATTTCACCTGAATATTCATTTAATCCTCATTATTTTAATATAAAAGTTTATTTTTACATCATTTTATGCCTTTTTCCATCTCACTTGTAATCCCCATGGGCATCCCATCACCAGATCATCCATGTGCCATCACCATAGTCCAGTGCACTATCCCCCTACCCCCCATTTTTGATCCCATTCTCCACTCCACCCCTGTAAAATGTCTCTGGTATATAGTTAATCATTATTATTATCTCCACCGCCTTTCCTGCCTCTAGTCCTTTATGCTCCTGCTATGAGTGAAACCATCTGGTATTTTTTTTTCATTTTCTTTCTGGCTTATTTCACTAAGCATGATCCCTTCCAGGTCCATCCATGTTGCTGCAAAAGGCATGAGTTTTCTTTTTGATTGCTGAGTAATATTCCACTGTGTATATGTACCACATCTTTTTAAATTAGTCATCTACTTTCGGGCATTTGGGTTGATTCCATGTCTTTCCTATTGTAAATAAAGCAGCAATAAACATGGGGGTGCAGGTGTCTTTTTGAATCAGTGTTTTTGTGTCTTTTGGGTAGCTACTAGGAGATTGCTGGGTCATATGAAAGCTCCACTTTTACATTTAATCCTCATTTTTAGAAGTGTGGTAAATTTTGTTCTAACAGATGAGGACTCTCAGATTTAGTGAGATTAGGTAACTCGCCCAAGATCATGTGTCTAGAAAATAGTGGAGGCCAGGCCTTTCAAATTTCAAGCCCTTGCCAGTAACCCTTGGGGAAACTTCACAGTGGAAAGGTAGTTCCAGAGGCTGTATACTGCAGTGGGAGGGGTTGTTGGTAGAGGAAAGACTGGAGTAGGGAAAATGGTAATGGGGGGCAGGAGGTTGGGGAATAAGGACCACACGGATGCATTGACGAGCATCTGGTCCATGAAAGAAATCCATGTTCAGTGGGACAGAAGCTGTCAGGAACCTGGTGGAAAGTCTAAGTAACACTGACTTGGTCTCAGAGGGGGCAGGGGCTACAGAGAAGCTTAAAGGTCCAGTGGGGATAGGGATGGGTGTTCCTATCTGCCATCTATAGTCAGTCTGCTTGGCAGAAGATTCTTCCTAGACTGGACCTGCATTGGGAGGGATAGAAGGTATGGACAGTGCAGCTGTGGAGTTCAGCCTGGACTCCCTCCTAGCTCCACCCCTTTTTAATTTTCCTTTGAACTTCCTTCTTGCTTTTCATCAAGAATGAAGTCAGAAACCTGATACTGAATTTAGGTGCAAGAATATAGAAAGGATGGGGAAGGAGGAGGAGGTGGGGGAGAAAGAAGGGAGGAGGGCAGCTTTGGTGTGACAGTTTTCTAATGCCAACAGAGCAAATGCCAAGGACAAGGTCAAATTATGGTCAACTACCTACTTGGTTTTGTGGCCCATCAGCAAACGACAGACATTTTGCCACAGATTTTTTTTTTTTTAAAAAACAGAATGGTATGAAGCACATATCCAGCAAACAAATGTTACCTGGCTCTTTAACAGGTTTTTGAAGTTGTAACTTAAGATCCTAAGGCATATCCTGTCTTCAGTAATGGCCCTTGGCTTTTGTGATTCCTGGGTGTGGAGATGTGGGCCTGGCTCAGAGACTTGGATTTAGGGAGGTGTTTGTGGAGTGTTCTAAGCTCTTTAGAAGGGAAGTGTGCTCTTGAGAGTTCCTGTTATCATTTTATTTCCTATGTTTACATTGGCTTTTGCTGAATTCCTTTATTCTTCTGCTGGTCGTTTTCGATTCTGTACTGAAAGGCTGGCTGCTTGAGCAGTGCTTTCTGTGCAATAGTGGTGACCAAGTAGAGTGTGGCCTGTGATTATATAATAATTTTAAATAAATAAAGAGACATTCTCATGCAGGTCCTGTAGGGGCAGCCTGGATAAAGTTGTGCTCGCCTCAGTGCTGTGCCGGCAGACCCCAGCAGTACATCATCTGTAGCCTCGAGGTGTAAATAAACCTTCATCAGCACTGAAAAGTCCAGGTGAAGCCCTGAGCCCTGGCAGCAGCGGGATGCTCCCCATCCAGAGTTGTTTGCAAAACCTTGTCTCCATCCACAATAATTTTATCCCTGATTGTTGGCTGGATCTACAGAGTTTTACAAAGATTCTATTCAAGGAAAGGATTATTTGCTTGCTGGTGCCAGATTCTGATGGCTCATTTAACTCTACCTTTTTGCCTTTTTTTTTTTTTCTCTAAGAAGTATTTGGGGGCTTCAAAGAATAGGCAAATGGGATTTACCTCAAATAATGACAAGGTAGCCCTTAGATTGGTAAAGTAATAATGGCTGATATTGGGAGGGGTTATCTTCAGTGCCAGTTGCCTCTTGGGTATTAGCTACCAGGCTTCTTGAGAATAGGATCTTGCCTTTTTTTAGCACAGTATCCGCTAGCCAAGAATGGTGCCTGACATGGGAATGTGCTCTGTGAATGAATTTAATGCATGTGTGAATTGTGAAGTACAGAGAGGTTAAGTTGCCTGCCCAAAGCCACACCATTAATAAATAGTAGCTAAACAAAGTGAAAACCATAGAGAATAATGTTTTAGGAACTTGCTCATTGAAAATATTATTTACTCTGCCTTTAGGAATGTCTTCAGTTTTGCAAAACTAAGTTTTTCCATCTGTTAAAAAATACTAATTTTTATAATTTTATTAAAAATACTATAATTACATGATATAATTTTATAATAATAATGTATGTGGAGTAAATGAGACCAAATGTTGAGCACTGCTCATACTTTTTTCTCTTCTTTTTTTAGAAAAGAATTGTTTCTTTATTGTAAGATTTTTTAAAATTTATTTTTGTGTAGAAAATCTGGGGTGTAGGACAGAGGTGCTGGGGTGAGAGTATTCACTAGATACAGAGTGGAAAGCAGAAGAGGCGGATTGACTGGCATACCCTGCTAAGGGGAGCAGTGGGGGAGACCAGAGAGCTCTCCTGCACCTTGTGGGTCAGCTTCCTGGCTGGGTGTCGAGCTCAACCTGGGATAGAATTCAGCCTTAGCTGAGGCCCAGGCCAGAGCAACAGCATGATAGCACTGAGACATAACCCCTGCACCACAGGGAGGCCCAGTGCTCATACTTTTTTTTTTTTTTAAAGATTTATTTATTTATGCATATAGAACTAGGTACAGGGCAGAGGGGGCCGTGGGAAGCTTCACCCCCCGAGACAGAGTGGGAAACGGAACAGGCAGATGGACGAAGTACACTGCTGAGAGAAGCAGTGGGTGGGTCAGGAGAGGTCTGCCCCGTCATGTGGATCACTTCCCGGGCGGGGATTGAACTCATATTGAAGTGGCTTTTAGCTTCTTAGTGCTGTGCTTTAACCTGCTGCATCACCAGGGAGGGCTCCGTCATACTTTTTAAGTGTTCTGTGTGTCTGAAAATTGGTCTCGTTGGCTTTAGTTGTTTCAGTTGGCTTTAATTTTGAGGTAAAGGCAAACTGTTTTTGAAAAATTATGGAGACTGTCTTTTTAGAGTAAACCTGAAAACATAATTTAGGGTATAATAGGAAAGCCAAGAGTGAAGTCTGATTTTAGTTTTGACTATTACTATTTATTACTGCATGAATACAAAATATTTTATTAACTGATGGAAGACACCAGTGTACTAAGGATTGTCCATAGCGTGCCAGGCAATGTGTTATAAGAAGATGTTATTGTTTAGCCTACTTGTCTAGACATTTTGACATAACAGCCTTGTTGAGAAAATACTTCTTGATCACCTAGCAGCTTTGGTATATTTTTGAATTATAGTCACATACTTGCTCAAGCTGGTTACATGATAAAATATTCAAGTAAAATAAGTAAACATGGCTGGACATTGTACTGTTTTCCTTCTGTATCCCAGAGATCACTTTTGAGCTTTCCACTCTTGATCTGGTTTAAGAAGACTGAAAGTAATGTAGGAAAGAATGCACAGAGCCTTTTTGAAAGAGGATTTACTAAGTTTTTGGAGTGGTATGTGTATGAGAAATAGAGAGGTAAATTGTCTGGCAGATTGAGTGTAGGATGTTTTGGGGAGAAAACCAGAAAACTATCTCTGTCCATCTGCTTGAAAATATTGGTGAAGTGGTCACATACCAAATGCCTAAGAATCAGAGTGTGCCTGTTAGTATGCATATTATCACTTCTCCATTACTGATTATGCTGGACATGCTGGAATTGAGGAAAAAATACAGTTTATGTACAAGGTTTGCAAAATTGGTTTAAAATTAAAAATGTATTTCAGTTACTTGAAAGGGATAAATGTGAATTGTGTGGTAAGCAAATCAAGCTAATAATCATTTGAAGAGG